GTCACAATGCAGCAACACTGAATTCATTAAGTTCCATGGGTTCGTACTCTTTGTACTCTTTTTAAGTGATCACTGATCATTTAGCAAGGCCCAAGGAGGATGGGAGCAAGTTGGAAGGCTGCCCCCAGCTCTCTGAGAGCTTACATTTGGCCAAGAGAACAGGCCAGAGGCATAAATTAAAAGCAAATCCAAAAAGTCAAAGTAGACCATGACAGTCTCAAAGGTATGAGACTTCAAAGCCATAGACTTTTGTACTGTATTTGTCACGAAACAATAAATACTTTGAAATTGAAAATACATCCCCCTTTTAAGGAAAGACTCCATCCGATTGGACCAAAGACTAACCAATGCCAAGTATAACATATTTATGATTTATTGTCAAGAGTAGATTACGCACACCAATGGTTTATTTAGTCATGAGATTTTAAGCATTCAAAGTAAACATTTTCAAAGTGGTCGAATAACAAAGTGGTGGTGCTATATTTTTCTTAATTTTTTCCTAATATGAAGAAGTCAAAAGCAGAATTACAGAACAACTTGTTTGTGTATGAGTGAAAATAATTTTGGCATCATGCTATAAGAATGGTTCCTTCTACAGAGTCTATAAATGGAATGGAAGGGCTGTTGAAGATGCCTTTCACGGTATGGGAGGATGAAAGTTTCTCAGATGCTCTCAGGTCATTTTGATAAGAGGAGGCTATATTTCCTCATTATTGCTACTGCTGTGAATTTGCAACAAGGAACTCTTCTTTCTTGAGATACTTTACAAATCTGCAGACTTCGACGCAAGAATATCTCTACTCTGATAGTTACCTGTCTGGAACATTGTGAGAAGAGTCTGCTTGAGTCTCCAAGTCCATTAGGAAGAAGAATGGATTATTAGAAACCCAAGAGTCATTTGTAAGAAAATCTGGACCATTGACTGCTCTTATGCTGTTTTCTGGCAGTGCAGTCATTGCTATAGCTTGTGTATTTGACCATGTATGTCTCACCATCTTGGGATACAATAATTAAAAGTCATGTGGATACTCGTAATATACATTTTCTTTCAACTGAAATAGGAAAAAGTCATCAACAGTATCACAAAATTCCAGCATTCTGGGTCTTTGTCACTACTAACAATTCTTCAGCACCTTCTGGCTGATAAGAAAATTTCTGGAATGTTGTATAAAGCAACTGTGTCTATCTCTGAGGCAAGGGATTTGTGAACATGTTAGAATTTTACCATAAGTAAATTTGACTTTCAAAAGCATATATGGAAGAATCGCTTATCTATACATACCTCTATTTACAATTAATCCTTGATCAAGGATTACCATTGCTGTTATAAGGCTTGGCTTGGTTCCTGACTGGGTGAATACCTTCAAGTTGATTTATTTCTAAGTCACTATGAAAAATAACCATACAGTTTCTTACAGTATTATCAATAATATATTATTTTCCATTCTATAGTCTTGATCTGAAACACGAGTTCAAAACATTTATCTTTGAATTCAGTACTAGGAAAGCTTCACTTCCCTTGAAGAACTATTAGTCCTTTTTGAAAATGGCAATTATGTAATTGGTAAGGGCACTTGGCTAACAGGAAGCTCAGTGGTTTAATTTGTTACTCAATGGTATGTTTACTCTTACCTGTATGTTTTTTCTTGGCTCATATTTTAATATTTCTAAATATTTATTTTTAAAATTTGCTGTGTGTGTCTTTTAGAGTTGTTCAAATCCCTCATTCAATAAAGTCATGGTATAATATAACAAAGTAACAAATAAAGGGATCAAGTTTAGGAATAAAATAAAACAACTCTATAGAATTCCCATGGAATTACTTCCTCACTACTCAAGTCAACGTACTGAAGTTTCTCCCTTGGAAATCAAGCCTGGAATTCTTTTTTCATTTCTGATTGAATGTGACTTTGGGAAAATCAGCTGGAAGCTCTACTCCGGGGAGATATCAATGTTAATAAAATTCTAAGGAATTTGCTAACTCATCATTTGCACCCCAATCACGGCATGTTAGAGGTTTGTGTCCTAAAGTCTTCCTTTTTCAATAAACTAGAGAAGAAATATTTTGAAAGAATTTTTGAGCATTTTGCTTTTCCCTCCATTAATGCATGAGAAATTGGATCATTTATCTATAAGTGAAATTAGGAGGAAGAGAAACTTAGT